TGCAGCTCCTTCTCGTATTCCTCCTTGCTGATCTCCGGCAGACCGTTGCGTGCTCTGATGCGATTCTTCGCAGCCAACACGCGTGCCGCAATGATTCGATCTCGTTCTGCACGCAAATCGTCGCGTCGCTTCTGCTCTGCCTGAGTTTCTTGGCGGGCTTTTTCCAACTCCCGCTGTTGCTGCATTCGCTCATCCTCGTCCGTGGAAAACGCATAGTAGCCCACGCCGTGTGTGCGCGCTTCATCAAAGAACACATCTTGGTAATGTACAATGGGTTTGTCGATATTTTCCTGCTCTTTGCGCTCCCAGTTGGCGCGCTGCTCATCGTGCTTTGTCATCGTAGACAGCGCCTCGCTGTAGACACTCTCTGTAGGCTTTGGGCCAAAGCTGGGCTCATCATCGTCTGCCTCAGGGTCGCTGTCGTGGGTGCCCTTCGTGTTGATCAACCAATTAGCTTTCGTTTGATCCAACCGCTCGGGCATGCTGTCCGCCAATTGCTTGTCCCGTCGCAGGGCTTCTTTTAGGTCTTTGCGCAAGCACGTACGGGTCCTTCCTAAGCAATCCGTGTACTCCACTTCGTCATCATCGTTTCCAGCTTCCGAATTTCCTTCATCCTCGTTTTCGCTGCTGCTTCTACTTATTCTTCCATGTGGCGGTGAGCTTGGGTGTTGTTGTCTTTCATCTCGGTGCTGCTCCTGGCGTTTACGATTGAACATGACCAGACAATTATCATCAGAGTTTAGGCTGCCGCCACTGCGTGTCATCTGGTCGTAATATTTGCTCTTGGCCTCCAGTACACGGCGAGATTTGTCCAACTGTCCAAAGTCCTCCGATTCATACACTTTAACGTCATCGTTACGGCTAATCTCCACATATTTTCCATCCTTATTGCTGCTTCTGGATGACTTCTCACTTTTGCTGTGAATCTTGCTTGGCCGGAATTTATTGGCCGCCGCGCATGATTCTTTGGCCATTTTGACTTCATGCTGCTTGCGCTGTAGTTCTGCTTTTAAACTAAGCAGTGATGATAAATTAACGGAGATCGCTTTGTTTGGGTCGTTCATTTTAAAACATAAATCGTAAATGAAAGGAGAGAGCAAAATCAGAGTCAGCTGTTCCAAGTGCGAGTGTACGGCTACTCGATAATCGAAAATCGATAAGTGTGAATGCGTAGGCAAGTACTCGATAGCTGCGCCTGTGGAATCATCGCTAAAAGATATTTAGCACGCACAACATATTTACAAACCAAATTGAAATGTCTGGCGGAGGTGAAGAATTTCAGGTTGTCACCCGTAAGAAATGGATGGCACGTAAATGCCTTAGTCGACGCAATCGCCACAAGTCTGAAAGCGATTACTTAAATGATTGCCCCGATGTGAATGTGGATATCTTTCAAGCGTAATTGCATTGATTTATCTGTTGGTTATATTCTTCTATGATTATTTATGATGACTTGCAGACGCATGGAGCGACTTTGTGGAGAAATGAGTCAGAGTGACTATTTCATCGCGACCATGGAAACGTTGCAACAGCAATTGGAAGCGCTCAAAAGGCCATTAGAACGAATTGTTTGCCTCGGCTTGGGACCCTTTACTCGAACCTACCAGGCGCTGCATCAAGCGGCGTTTATAATAAGCACACAGCAATTTCATAAAATTAAAGAAACACTCTACTATGATCCTGTATTCCGGGAAACTGAAAAGGAGCTAATCAAACGTTTAAATGGCACCATCATCAAGGAGGATAGGGCGGGCAGGCATGTAGCCCAAGTGCCAACTCTATATTATCTGCCACATTGTCCGTACGCCTTAATGCACAACCTGCTGTTGTGCAACTGGAGCAACGAAACCTTGCCAAATGTCTTCTTAATCTCGAACAGTTTTGAAATGTTAACGCTCAACAGAACTCTAGCTAGAAGCAATCCCAACGATCATATCGCCCGCATAATAAACTATTGCACGGAGGCTTCTTTAGAGGATGATTACGAGCAGCAGAATGTATTCAATGATCTATCATTACACTGTTTTCCCAGCGAGAAACTACCAGGAACAGATAATACAATATTCTGGACACGTTGCGCGCCTTTAAAGGTGAATGAAGATGAGCTGCGAACTGACCAAAATATTGAAGACGAATTTTCCGCGTTAAGCATAAGATCATAGATGACTTCTTTGTTAAACCTTATAGAGTATGTATATTTAAATGTATAATAGGAGAGCTTAGCTTTGCGAAACATGTTTAACTATAAATATGTAATACAGATTTGTACTTTATACAGATTGTACTTTTTAGGAACAGCCGAGAACTATCGTAATTATATAAAAATTATAGTTTTGTATTGTTTTGTTTTATTTGTAAGCTTTTGAAGCCTGGCTCTAAATAGGATTTAAAAGTATATATATAAATTACTATGCATTATATATGTATACATAAAGTCTATTGATAATGCGAATTAAAGGCATTATGGATTTGCAAAATGAAAATATAATTTGATTAAACCTCAGACTTGTTCAAATGCTTATAGATTAATACCTAAATATGCATTTATATGCATATCGAATGATTCGTTTATTGTGAGTGCTTGTAAATAAACATTTTTTCGACAACTACATACTTAAAAGAGATGTATCTGTAGATAACTGGGCTAAATCCAAGTATTGGCTTATCAATAAACACCAAATGAAATAAATACAGTTCAAGTATTCTTTAAAGGCACATGAATTTTTCCAGCTCATTGTCCAGTGTCTTTTGCAACTTGGCTGCATCCTTTTTGCGTTGGCGGGATTTTTTGCGGTTAGTTTTCTTTTTTTTTGGCTCATTCATGCGTACGCGTTGGATTAGCGGGCGCGGTTCCTCGAGCTTTCTGTTAGGAAATTTGCGAGGCCTTCCCCTCTTGGGATTCACTTTGGCGGGAAAGGCACAGGGCAGAAGCTGAAGCTGCTCGTGGAGTCGACTGCAGAGCAGCGGCGTAATGGGCAAATAGGTGCTGCTCTGTGTGAGGAAGTCGATGTTGTTGGGTGAGGAGGTGCCCATCAGCAGTTCATGTAGCTTGAAGCTCATGGACGTGTCGTCCGCAGTGGGCTGACAGAGCAAAAACATATCTTTGTACTTGCTGGTATAGCGTAGAAGGTATTCCCCGGGCGATATGCTAGACAGCATCTTGAGGAACTCTGCTAGCTGACTAAGCAGCTGCGCCACGTTTATGTTATAGCATTCGTGGAGCTGCTGTGCCAATGTACTCAGCGTTACCTTCTGCTCCAACAGCGGCTGCATGTCTTGCAAAGAAATGCGTGAGCAATGACCCACGTTGCTTTGGAGCAGTTGAAGCTGCAGCCAGATGCTGAGCATCTCGTACTTCGTCATAATTTCGCAGCCACACTCGGGCTTACTCTCCAGCTTGATGAGGTGGCAGCCAAGGAGTTGTTTGGCCGCAGCATCGCGTACAGCTGCAACTGAGAGGCTGCTATAGATCGACAAACTCTTCGTTGACTCTGCAGCTCGTAGCCTCCAGCTGACTAGCGCGCAGTTGGTTTTCATCTCAGTCACAACTGGAGCTTCCTCATCGATTGGCAGGAGCTTATACTCCGTTATAGCTTTATCCTCACGATGGTGCAAAGTCTCTGAGTTCTGTGAGACTGTATGCTTTTTTCTTTGGTACTCATCATTGGGCAGCTGTAGCCACTGAGCTGCTCCATAGGCTGTATAGGCAGTCGTCAAGAGGCGGCTACTCGTGTGCCAGCCGCAGCTGCGCGCCGGCATAGGCTCCTCGAATTGAATGCATTTGTGTCCACTGTCTGGCATCTCACGAATGCTCACTAGTACCTCTGTGGGCAAATCAGAATATGCGCCGGGTATCAACAGCAACAGCAACGATTCCAAGGGCAGCACATACACATCGTTGCATGCTTGTTGCAGCTGCAGCTCCAGATCGGCTGCAACCAAATGGGAAGCGGGCTCATCAGCTGATCCTGCATATGCATAGCGCTCCAATCGGACGCGTAGGTTGCTCAGCTCCTGCTCTGGTATCCGCACCTCTGGCCACAGTCTGACCTGGCCCCGGAGACAGATCAGGTGGATGTCCTCCATGCTGGCCACCTGTGCATGGAGAGCCTTGCATTGTGACAGCTGTGGCAGACCCGAATGAGTTGAGTAGCTACGATTGGGTAGTCTACGGAGCACATGTTGCATTCTCCTCATGAACCATTTGCCATAGAGCACAACCAGCGGTTTCATCGGCGCGTAGATTCGTTCTTTCTGCGCATTGGCATAGTCAAAGATGTGCTTTTGTACCAATTGCTGCTCGCTTAACCGCTTGCCATTCGTGACACGCCATACGATAAAGTCATCCTCGCTCTCTGCCAAGTTTTGCTGCCAGGCAAGGAGCAAGCGTAAACAGGCGGCCTGCTGTGGGGCAGTTAACGAAGAAAATCGCTCCTGCGGATTGGGAAACTCATATGGCAACCGATTCGTTGTGTGATCATAGGTGACGAAACTTATCAATTGCTGAGTGCGTGGATCTTTTGCTGTAAATCTGGAGATATATGATGTAAAAACCTGCGATTGCGAGACTTGCTCGTCCTTCAACAACTCGGAATCGACATCGTTTAGGAAAGTAAAAAGTGAGTCGTCGGAGTGCTCAATGGACTTGTTAAATACCCTGTATGAAGGCTGGTTCAGAAATGTATTTGCATTTCCTTTATATACTTTTGTTTCCATTTGTGCATTAAGGGTTAACTTGTTGTTTACTGTTTATAAATAATTTAGGTTGGAGTTCAACTAATTCGTTTTGTAGTGATTCCGACTCGTGTTCTTTGGTGTTCTGTTAACTAAAATTTCTTGAACAATTTTAACAGTGAGCATTACTGCTGTTACTGATCAAAATACCGTTAATTTAAATAAACTGTTCATCACTAATATTTAAAGTAATATTAAAAGTAATAGCACAGAGTATATAAAAAATATTGATATTTTTTTGCTTTGCTTTGTTTTAATTAGTTTTTTTTATTGTCATATATTATATACACAAAAATATCATTCTTTCACATCTAAAATCATCAGCCTTAGCATGTTGACATGTTATCTCAATCAATGCCAGTCAAGCACCGACTCTTTTGGCATTCCATTATATGTATGTGGGAACTAAACTTAAAATTCGTTTCCATATTTGAACAACTTCGATAATCGAATTATTATATATTATCACTGGTCAGTGTTATAGCTCTCATTTCCTTTAAATTACCCGGCCATATTACAATTAAACACTAAAATTGAGGGTTTTATTAGAAACGCTTATATCACTTTCCTACCTATTTCAAACGAATCATTATTGTTAATTTAAAAGTAAATGTGTTTTAATATGCAACATTAAATTTGCTGTCGCTCGATAAGCTTTTTGAAAGCTATTTAAGCTCAAAGTTTCTAAAATTGTGCATAAACATGAATTGCAATTGGATATTATTTTATTTCATGCTTTTGCTTTCAATTTTTAAAATTGACAGTACTTCAAATAAGTTAAATAGCTGCGATACGACCAAGCATACAAAACTCGTAAGTCTTATTTAGCATACAAATATATAGTGTAATACTAATAGTTTTTTGTTTTTAGTTAGGCAGCTGTTGTAATGTACCCAGAAACGATCAATACAGCAAAGCTTGTCGCCAATCGCTGCTGAGTAAGGCCAATCGTACCACAAATAATGCCGATACGCGAAATTTAAAGTCGGATAAAGTTGCCTTGCATGCAGTAAGCCAAAACTCGCAAAACGCGTTTATTATTTATATAGATATGAATTCGCGTTTTTTAACGCCTTTAATTTCATAATTAGGTATTTTTATTAATATGCTTCATTTATCCAGTGTATGGCAGAGTGCGTTTTTAAAAAGAACGGCTTTCTTTACTCCAATGGCACTGTTAACCTCTCTGTTATGCAAAGGAGCCTCGAACAGCGCTACAAAAAGGATGCTGCTTTAGCGAAACTTGTTGCCAAGAGCTTGAATAGCTGCGCAGATTACGGTAAATTTGCATTTTAAGTATGTAGCGAAATAATTTAATTAAACACACAAAAAACAGCTAAGACCCGCACAAAGCAATTCGAATGGCTGCACGCAAAGGACAATTGTGATTATTATCCAGCTACTTTGTTGGCATGCATAATGGAGCAAGTGTACCAAAATTGTCCAGCTTCTTTGTGGAAAAATACGGAGGACTGTGCGGCTATGAAGAAGTTCCTGATTGCCTGCGATGACGTAAAAAAGACCAGAAAGTAAATTGTTTATTTTACGTAGATCAGCAATTTAAATTAGTAGATCCCTCAATATATTCGGAAATCATTAAAAAGAATATAAAATAACATAACAGGATCATAGATGCTTCAAAGCGACTTAAATTTATTTTATTTTATATATTAATTAGTATTTGTCAGATGTAAGTCTTTGAAGATTTATTAGTTCTGCTCGTCACACACGTCGAACTTCATGGTGGCCAAGTCGGCCAGGCCGCACTCAATCAGATCCCCGGATTTGAAGGGCTCCGAGCCATGAGGCGTTCCCGTCAATATCAAATCATTGGGCTCCAAGGTCATATACTTGGATACATAGGAAATTATGTCGGGCACTTTGAATACCAAATCTGCAGTGCAGCCTTTCTGCTTCAATTCGCCATTGACCTTCAGCCAGAGGGGCAACGCATGCGGATCGCCTACAGCATCCAAGGGTATAAAACGGGAAACTGGAGTCGCTGTGTCGAATCCTTTGCCAAGTGTCCAAGAACCACCCGTGGCTCGTGCTGCCGTTAAATTACATTGGGCAGTAAGATCCAGGGCCAGACAATAGCCACCCACATAGTCCATAGCCTTCTCCTTGGATACATTCTTACATCGAGTTCCAATCACAACGCCTAGCTCCACCTCATAGGCCACTTTGGTAAAAACTTTAGGCAGCTAGTAGTAAAACAAATTCGATTCGATTAAATAATAAAGGGTAAAGATCAGCGTGCTCACGATAATGGGACGACCTTCTTTCAGATAAGATGTTGTGGGCTTTATGAAAACGATCGGCACTGTTGGCACCGGAACATTTCTCGCCTTGACCGCACACCTGCATAGGGAAGTAAAAATTATTTACTGATAGACTCAAGATCCACGTCGTTTACATATAATTCAAAGCAACGCCTATGATCTTTTTGCCCTCGGACACGAAATTGGCCACATCCTGACCGCGTTGGCAGGCCATTAAACAGCGAGAGAGAAGAACCACTAAGCAGTTATAAAATCAAAAAATATAACAAATTCATAAGAATTTTGTAAAACAAAGTTGATAGACATAACTGTCTATTTAAAAAAGGCTTACAATTTGGAAGCAAAGTGTGAAGAATCAAACGACCGCTACGGTTGAGCGAATGTAAATGTATGGAATGATCTTAATTAATAACACTCACTTACTTGCGTCAACGCTATATTTATTAAGCGTCAAGGTTATCTGGAGACGTGCCCCTCTGCCTAAATATAAATAGTTTATCAATATAAATTAAATAACATAAAACTCAAATGTTCAACAGTGAACTAGATCGCATGCAGTGTGACCGTCGGTCGATCAGTAAATGCGCAACGTTGAGTTGCGTGACGCAAAATTGAGCAACATACGGTAAAAAGTAGGGTAGTATTTCACTGTTATCGAAAAGTACCAACTGTATCATTGCACTGTTGAATGAACATTTAATAAAATTAGGGAATTTGATTTTTATTTATAGTATGTCTATCATATTTTATTAAGATAAATATATTTAATTAAATCAAACGTTTTACTATTAAAATTACGCTGTAATAACAAGTGAAATGAACGAGTATATGATATCGATAGGATGAACTAGACAAACAGTCGGAGCCAATGAACTAGAGCTTGTTTGCTCATTTAGTTCGGAAAGTCGTTCGTCCGAATATACTGCGAACATTTGGTACAACTCTAACATTTACGTGCCGTTGCTGATTAATTGTGAAGAAAAATTGTAAAAAATATTTAAAAATTTATGTTTATTAGTGTCACACAAATATACGTGCATTTGCGGGCGACTGCACGGTGTGATAAAAAATATTTTAGTGTGTTAAACGAACAGAGAAGGCAAACGAACAACTGGCAAACGAAAAGAATGACTTGTCAAAGAGAATAACATGAATTTGTTGTAGGCAGTAACGCGCGGCGTGGTGAATATGCATGTACATATATAAAGCGCGAACGAGTAAGCAATGAAAATTTTAAGTGAGTAAAAACGAGAAAGCGCTAAAGTCACCACCCGAGAAGAGAGTTATTGCAGAGGGACAACCTCAAATAAAATTTTGTAATTTTTTGAAACTTACCAATAATGCCCAATTATAAATTATAGTCCAAAACCTCTGTGCTAAATATACTCACATTATTTGATTTAATTGCGAAAAAAGAAATTCCTGAGTGCGTGTGTGCGTGAATCACAGATCAGCAGTCAAAGCAGCTACAAAAATTTAACAAACACAACAACAAAAAACAACAGCGAAAACAACACAATGATAAAAATGGAGACTGACAAAATAATGGACGAGACTAACTCCAATGCACAAGCAGTAAGTACATCGTTAACTTATTTTCTTCAGGTATACGTTTGTATATTTGTAATTGTCAATATGAATACATAGATACATTCATACATACATCATGTTCAAGGTGTCGCATATGCATGCATACACATTCATACAATTTCTGTGCATAAGTATTTGTGTTTTATTTTTGTATACACACACATATGTATATGTATTTTGCACTCGTGCACTCTATTAAAATTGCTGTTAGCTTTTCTTCTTTTATGCTTAACCTTAAGCATTTCGCAGTTACTCATACTTTTTTGTGTACCCATTAAATATTGATAAATGGGTATGGCAGTATGGCAATCGCAATCGAGGCAGGTGTTAGCACAAGTTTTTAAATTTTAAAATTAATATAAAATATAAACATATAAAATAAAATTAACAAACCATACAACAATTTATATTTGTATATTTCTCTAATCAAATTTTCGTAAATCTTAGTTATTATACACATTGAATTACTTCATTAAATCGGAGGCCCGTACAGGGTATCGCAGAGCCCGACAGCTATTCGCTTTAGCTCACCTGCTTATATTTGTAATTAGCAGTTAATTGGCCTTCGATACTTTTAAGTTTTGTTTATGTACGAAAAAAAAAAAAAAAAAAATATATATATATATACATTTGTTTTTATTTAGTGTGTATTTCAATCCCATCAATCCAGATTATACGTATCTGTGCACATATTGAGATGTGAGGTCGGAATATTGAAGGTTAATCGTTCCTACGTTAAGAAGCAGTCAATAAGAGTTTCAAAAATTTGTTTGCTTTGCTTCTGTTGCTGTTTCTGGGTCAAAAGTTGATTTTCGCCCAAAATCTACGCGTTCAGCAATTAAGTTACATTTGAGTCATCTTTGTTATTGTTGTAGTAAGCCCGAAAGCTGCCATCAAGGTGAGATGGCGTCCAAATTGCGCATAAGTTTTTTTTTTTTGCTACACTAAAATGATAAATACACACATATGTATATACAAGGCTAAACCAGTTCTTTTTATAATTTACTTACTATTTATTATCTTTATTTTGGTATAAAAAAGTAAATCGTTGACTTTTGCTTTTATACTTTTTGTTGCTCGATCTATTTTCAGTGAAGTCATAGTTATATTTGTGGAGGTTTTTGTAATTAATAGATGACTTGATTTGTTTTCAAGCTTCTGCAGGTGCTTCTGCTTTCTATTGAAATATACATACAAATATACATACATATCACTGTTGCCCAGTCAGTGCTTCGTTAAAAAAATATGTTGCTAGTTTTTATTTACACATAAAGAAAATTTATAAATATATAGTATATAGCAATTCAGACTACTTTACTGTATATATATTAAGGTAAAATAATAATTAAATGAGACATTGAACTTTTGATCATTAGGTTTGAGAGTTAGATCCTTGGATATCGATGGAATCGATTGATTTCGGCTTTAGATACCTTAAAGAAAAGAAAAGCCTCAGTGTGTATCTCATTTGCTTTAATCAACTAAATAACAATTATTAAATAAAGAAATAATAAAAATCAGCAAATATTTTTCGTCTATATATTGACATATTGACAAAAACCGAAATTATATAAAATACATATAAGTCTACATTCAAAGTTCGGAGACTGTATATATAAAGGTGTAGGAGATATAATTATAAAACTACTTTTCGATAAGGATTTTAATCAATAATAAAATATCGGGGGTAGTTATATAGATATTTAGAGCTTGTTATATAGATATTTAAGCTCGACATGCGCGGACCTAGAAAAAAATCTCTACCTCTAGCTCGTATATTTTCTGAGATCGACGCGTTCATACATATGGACAGACAGACGGACAGGGCTAAATCGACTCAGCTCGTCATATATATATATATATACTTTGTGGGGACTGCCACGCCTCCTTCTGCCTGTTAGATACTTTTAACAAAACCATTATACCCTGATTTCCCATTTTCAATGGGAATGTAAAAAAAAAACAAGTAAGAAAGCTCTAGTCGAGACTACTCGACTACGAGATCCCCTGAACCCTTGGAGTAATAGCTATTTCAATAATTTTTCGCGTCTTTCAGCTTACACAAGAAACACGCACACACACACACACACACGCACGCACGCACGCACACACAGGCATACATACACACACATAATACACACATACACCCACACTTACACACATACACAAACAATTACATACATAAACACACACAAGCATAAACACGCATGGGCGGCAGTGAGCGCTTACTCTGAGAACTTAATTGCTTAATAACTTTTTTGTGGACGTACGATCTTCATGAAACTTTCAGATTATGATTATGACATGGATATGCATGTAATTGCCAAAGCACAAGTCTCTAGTATTTGAAATACGCTTTTTACAAAAGTGAGGGTGAGGGGGTGAAATTAAGGGTGGGGGGTAAATTTTAACAAAAACCGAAATTGTATAAATTGCATATAAGCATACATTAAAAATTTGGAGACTCTAGCAATAAAGGTGTAGAAGATATAATTTTATAACTGGTTTTCGATAAGGTTTTTTATCGATAAAAAAATATCGGGACGAGTTATCGATTTTTAATGATAAACTTGATATGCGCGCTGTAATTACGAACATTTAAAAAAAAATTTGAGGTCTCTAGCTCTTATATCTTCTGAAATCGACGCGTTCATACATACGGACAGACGGACAGACGGACAGACGGACGGACGGACAGACGGACAGACGGACAGACAGACGGACAGGGCCAAATCAACTCAGCTCGTCGCCCTGATCAAGAATATATATACTTTGTGGGGTCTGCCACGCCTCCTTCTCTCTGTTACATACATTTCAACAAAACCATTATACCCTGATTTCCCATTGAAAATGGGTTCAGGGTATAAAAAAACAATAAATAAGGGTGCATAGTTATAGAATTAGTTTTTCGTCTTTGATGTCAGTCGTATCAACTGTGCAGTATTTATCAATTCTGTCCCAGGGGCAGCCTGGAGTATTAGATGCAATGTGAAAATCTAACTAACATCCTAACCAAACAGATGAAAGTTCCATCTCCAATATCTCTCCCCATCTCTTAAGTCTTCGTTGTCTACAACGTATGTGGCTTAGTGAGTTCACATATTCAAGCAGTTTCTTGACCCACATAGCAGTGCAAAAAATAAGGAAAACCAAAAAGTTTTTTGTTTGTTTGCAAGTCGAAAAATAATTTTTAGCTTCACTGGCAAATACAGTCGGAGGCCAAACGCTCCAAAAGTCATAAACAAACTAACCTAATAAGTGATTTTAACTTTACTTTTAATGCAAACGCTAATAAATGGCAATAGCAAAGCACAGCAATGCCAACAACCACGGCAAATATAATATGCTATTAATTAAAGCCGTTGGCCACGCTCACACACTCACACACTCACACAGTCACAAGTCTCATGCTCACAGTAAAGCAAATGCAACCAATTGTTTATTCACACAAATACACACCTGTATAGACGAGGTCTATATAGTCAAGGTATTAATATTACTACATTTCGACTAAATGAACACTGATCATGCACTAAAAGGTTCATATTATATTTTTATAAATATATACATGAATCCCATCAGTTTCTCTTTCTTCCCCCTTATATATGGGTCATAATTGTATTTTCTATACACTTAACTAAATTTTTAATAAAATAAAAAAAAAAATACAATAAAATAAATAGTAAGAAGATGACTCTTTAATATATATAAATATATGCGTTCTAATAAATATATGATTTTCAATAGATATTAAGGTAGAATGAAATTTAAACTTGATAAACATTTTCGTTAAAAAATAAAATCAGAGAATTACCGTCATTCGAGCTTTGCAGTTTCTCAATGAAATAGCATATTTGTAAAATGAGATGAAAAACACTTCAACTCAATTCGATCAACACCTTGTCACTGCTCGAGCAATCAGCTGCAAATCGGAGACTACGCCACTGCTATAGCGCCATGCAGATCTATATAGCATAAGCTAAAGAAGCGGCTGAAAGTACAATACAAACCGATTCATCGACTATTGTGATTCGCAGTGCATGTATTTAAACATTTGTGTATGCCTTCATAGGAAAAACACTTGAAGGTGTTTAAATGTATGTATGTTTAAATGTATGTATAGGTATCGAAAATGCGCTTAGTAATTTCGTGTTACTCAACGGCTTTTAATGAAACTTTCAGCATATGATCTGCAAAATATAGTCTATAGTTCACACATTCATTGATGGCTTTATTTTAAATTACAAATTGGAATATGGTAAGATTAGGAGGCTAAAGATGTGCGAGATATATTTTTATTCATAAATTTGGATAAGATTTATAATCGATAAAATGGGAATTATTACAACAAAAATTTAATTTCAAATCAGTAACATACAAAATAAATGGATCAGGTAAACGAGTTTTACAAATTGAAAGAAGGTTGGGTAGATCCACTAGCAAAGCAGAATAATTCAGGAAGAGAACAAGTTTATCTGCTCTTCATAGCTTTTCACGTAACAATTTATAATTGGGCATACATAAGAAAAATAAAATTGTTTTAATTTTTGTTGACCAGGTAGGTCTTGAGCTTGTCCTCACCTGTAATTGTGAATGTCTTTCAGCAGCACCAGAACAATAAAGCCAAGATTTCGAGTTCAGCTTATAGGGTAATTGAAAGACAAAAAAAAACCTTTATTATTTCATCTTCAAGTTGCGCAACTTCAACTTCCACTTCGCTTAAGTCGGCATTTGGTAATATCATTGCCAAGTGCAAGGGTTACCTACATTCCAGTTCCCAACCGACATCGCTGTCCGCTGACCTGGGTAGAGTTACATATGTGTGTTATGCGTATTACCTAAGCTGTAAACTCGACTTTATGATAACTTTTTGCTCTGTTTTCTTCCCCTTTGTTCCGTATATAGTTCACAACCACAATGCTGTACGATCCGGTGCGCAAGAAAGATTCATCACCCACATATCAAACAGAGCGGGATGTTTGCTTTCAGTACTTCACACAGTGGAGCGAAGCCGGACAGGTGGACTTTGTCGAGCAGCTGCTATCGCGCATGTGCCACTATCAGCACGGACAGATCAATGCCTACTTGAAGCCGATGCTACAGCGCGACTTTATCACACTGCTGCCAAGTAAGTAGTAAATTGAATAGAAGCAAGTAAGAGTGCTCTAATCGAGACTGGGAGAGAGCCTCTCGTTCCAACTGATCATAGCTCCTTGTGCACGTATTCATATATTATACGTATGCTGGAATCAACGTACATACACCCATTTCAATATTTTGAACCCTTTGAAAATGGGAAATCAGAACTGTGTCAGACCCCATATATATATAATAGTCTTGTTCACAAGAGCTAGGAACTTCAATTGAATATAATTTGATTTAGTTTTTTCTGTAAAAACTAGATTTATTAATGCTATTATCATTCCTTAGCTCTCCAACGGATCAAAGTATCTCCTAGTCTAGCTGTCTTCACTGCAGCATTCTTACTTTTTCATGCTGCTCCCGTCATACACACTAATTGCACTCATCTCTCGTCGCTCTTTTAGGAATATATAATCATTTTACAGTTACCTATATGACATTGTTTGATTTTGCGTGTTGCACCGATTTACTAAAAAACGAAGAGAAATACAGTATTCCCTTTCTTATCTTATCACTTTAAGTGGAACCAAGTATATGTATGTATGTGTTGGGTATTGAATTCTAATGGAGATTAAGACTGAAAAATTAAGTAGCGTCTCTTCTTGTTTTCTCATAATGTAGATAAACATCTGATTTTATATTAACAAACAGTTTACTTGAATCTGGAGAACTAGAATTATGAATTAGTAGAATTAGTCACAATTGACTAAACTTATCTTGACCTTTCCGATTGTTGTATGAAATATGGATTAAGTAAATGTTAACATATAAAACATAAAATTGTTAGGAGAGTATATTTGATATGCTTTCTTCAAATACAGTTCTGAGTTCCTTTCGCGAATTTCTCTTGATCTCTTATTAAAAATAAATTGTAAGCTAAAAACTAGATGATTATGACTAACTGATAGACGATTAAAAGTGCAACTGAAGTAAAGGCTACAAAAGAAACAAACAAATACAAAAGCGCGTAGGAACAGAGTTGAACTGCGAAACGTGAAGGTAACCGAACGAATGGAATCTGCTTTTCCCCTTTCCCGTGTCTATCCTCGTCCCCAGCCGTTGCCGTGCAACTGTTAGAGAGTACGAGCAGCGGAACGGGGGAGGGTAGCGCAGGTGACGCTCTCTGTTGCTGCCTCTGCCTCTGCTGTTGCCTCCGTCTGTGATTCTGCTGCTTATGTTGTTGACTGAAAGGTCATTGCTTCCATTAAACGCGCTTTGCCGGAACAGAATGAAAATAAAACAAGCAAAAGCCGCACAAAACAAAACGTCATACATTAAGTATTCGAATCGATGAACTGAGCAAAAATATTAAAACTCAAATATGTTTTTTTAAGAAGGTACGTAATGATAGGATATCTGAGTTTGGGTATAAATTACATCTGAATATTGTACTGTTATTTATTTTGGAAAAAAGTTTAAGAATTGAGAGATCCTTAGGTTATTACAGGTGAAGCATGTTAGGCGAGTATCTGAAACAAGGCGTTACACATTTTATGACATAGTTAAGACACCCAGCTAGGCCAGAGCAAGGCAAGGGAGAGTAACAAACTAATTCTTGTCGGACTTTTTTGCTTGTGTTTGCTTAGGCAGGATGAGGGAATGGGAAAGAGAGCGGGAGTAAGCACCGCTTCCACAGTTTACAATGTAATGCACAGTGAAGACGGCGTACTCATACACTTACTAGCGAGAGAAAGAGCGACCGGACTGAGGATAGGCAGGCGACATGAGCCGTTAGGCAGGCGACGGTGAAGCAACAATAACAACGACAACTTGAACTACATCAGCTCAGCATTTGCAACATTGTCGCTGTTGCAAAGTCACTTTGCGAGCTATCCACATTCTTAATTGTGTTTGGAAAATGCAGCACTTTATGCAATTCACGGCAGACCCAACAGGGTCGGCTCTCCTTCTTCCTCTCCTTCCTGCCCGCCTCCTCCCCGCCGATAGCTGTGCTTAGTAATCTCATGCGACATCTGACGATTGCTCCCTGTCAGCTCTCTTTATCTCCTCTCCCATTGCTAACTTGCCGTTAGGTGCGTCCGTTCCACTTGCGCTCGTAGGTGGCGCGTGGGTCTAGAGCAGTTCTTGAGCGTAACTTTGGATACTGTTGCATCAATGAATCATGCCTTAGATCTTAAACTAATTACTGCTTGTTGACCTTAATATAGACAATTGTATATGTAGGCTACTCATTTGCTTTTGTTTGATTTGCTTGGATGTGCTCAAGAAGCGCAAGACTCACTCAAGCTGAACAAACGGAAAGTTTTCATGAGTCATCGACTATCATTAGCTGCACGTATATCTTACAAACATGTTCATTCGAGTGAATTCGTCATCTGGATTAGATAACTTTCAAGAATTCTTCAGCGTGGTCAGTAAAACTCTTATAGCTTATAGTTTAAAATCTCAGAGCCTATTAAGGATATAGGACTTGAAAGTATGACACGTCGATCTTTCCACATGATGCTCCGTTTAATATCAGCTTAAAACTTTTTCTAATTTGTATTTGCGTCTCTTATTCTTAACAGAAAAAGGTCTCGATCACATTGCCGAGAATATTTTATCGTATCTGGATGCGGAGTCCCTTAAGTCTGCCGAGCTGGTGTGCAAGGAATGGCTTCGCGTCATCTCCGAGGGCATGTTGTGGAAGAAGCTGATTGAGCGCAAGGTGCGCACTGATTCGCTGTGGCGCGGCCTGGCCGAGCGTCGCAATTGGATGCAACATCTGTTCAAGCCACGACCCGGCCAAACACAGAGACCGCACTCATTCCATCGGGAACTATTCCCCAAGATCATGAATGTGAGCAGCAAAGTAAAATGTAAGCGACAAATTAATTAATTAATGCTATTTTCAGGATATTGACAGCATAGAGAACAACTGGCGGACTGGACGGCACATGCTGCGCCGCATCAATTGTCGATCCGAGAACTCAAAGGGTGTCTATTGCTTGCAGTACGATGATGGAAAGATTGTGTCCGGCTTAAGGGATAATACAATTAAGATATGGGATCGGACGGATTTGCAGTGCGTCAAGGTGCGATTTTCAATTAAATTTTGGAATATCTTCGATTAACGTTTAATCTCTGATTGCTGCAGACACTAATGGGACACACTGGCTCAGTTCTGTGCTTACAATATGATGACAAGGTGATCATTAGTGGCTCCAGCGATTCCACGGTGCGTGTATGGGACGTCAACTCCGGGGATATGGTGAACACACTGATTCATCACTGTGAGGCGGTGCTACATTTACGTTTTAACAATGGCATGATGGTCACATGTTCTAAAGATCGCTCCATTGCGGTCTGGGACATGACTTCGCCCAGCGAAATTACGCTGCGTCGCGTCCTAGTCGGCCATCGTGCCGCCGTAAATGTAGTGGACTTTGATGAGAAGTATATTGTGTCTGCCAGTGGGGATCGCACTATCAAAGTGTGGTCGACATCGAGCTGTGAATTTGTGCGTACACTGAATGGCCACAAGCGTGGCATCGCTTGCCTGCAATACAGGGATCGGCTAGTGGTTAGCGGCAGCTCCGACAATTCAATTAGGTAACTTGAAAAAGCTCTAGTTAATTTTTAAATAATTTGTACTTATATTTGGAATATGCATTTCGATAGGCTGTGGGATATTGAGTGCGGAGCTTGCCTGCGCGTGCTGGAAGGTCATGAAGAGTTGGTGCGCTGCATCCGCTTCGATACGAAGCGCATTGTCAGTGGTGCCTACGATGGTAAAATTAAGGTCTGGGACTTGGTTGCAGCGCTGGATCCACGCGCCGCCTCCAATACACTGTGCCTCAACACCCTCGTGGTAAGTACTCCTCTAGACTGTTGCAATTGATATACATAACTGATTTAATGTTGATTGCATTTAGGAACATACTGGTAGAGTTTTTCGCCTTCAATTCGATGAGTTTCAAATCGTCAGCAGCTCACACGATGATACTATTTTGATATGGGACTTTCTAAACTTCACGCCCAATGAGAATAAGACCGGCCGAACCCCATCGCGTAAGTTCACACTTTTCTTTATCAAAATATCTAGTACAAAGTTAAGTTTTTGTTTATTTTGTGATTCTAGCGGCCCTTATGGAACATTAACATTTTGTGCAAATGCAGCTGCGGGCACTTCAGCTCTATTCCTCGAGCGATGAGGAGGGGCAAGAGGGCGACGACGATGACGACGACAACGAGGGCCGTGTAAATGCAGAACATGAGAATATTGAGCTCGAGTCATTTGGTTATAATGTTGATAATCTTTATAATGCTGTTCAAGAAAACTAATGAGTAATACTAAGCCAGCAGATAGCATTGAGACTCGTCCATTAAATTATGTTGAACCCAAGATACTGCGATCTCCGATTTTACTGAAATGCACTAAAAAAAGAAAAAGAACATTACAAAAACAAAACACAAAAAAACATAAAACAATGATAAAAAAAAAAAAAAAAAAAGAAGAAAAGAAACATAAAAAATATTAGCATTAAATAGAAACACACGCGTAATATGAATAAATGAATTGATTGAATAATACAAAAAAGAAAACCCAATAATAAATACGAGAAGAGCATCAAAAATATTTTTGCATAAACTGGCTGTTAGGTTTGAAAAATATACGAAAAGAGAAAATCATATATAATATATACCTAATATATATATATATGCTTTACATTATAAACAGAATTATATATTAGTAATTAGACATTCTACAAATAATTAAGGTCAGTGTAAATCGTTGAATCGACTGCTACTGCTTGCTGCGGCAGTATCGATACAAAATGTGTAACTAATATTTAGCTCAAATAACTAAAGATCGCATTGGGCTGAGTGCGATTTTAAGATAAATTTGAATTTTCTGGTACGTTATATATTCCTGATATGTGTTAGGCTATATTCTAGAGTAAAAACTGTCAGATCTGTCAGAGCATAGTCTATGTATAAAATGTTAGTTGAAAGCTTCATCTATTTGGTGACCACATATAATTCTGTCGGTTTTCTCAACATTACGATTCGCTTTTATCATAGTGCATACTATTTTAAATTAATTTTCATCTCTGATGTTTAATTATGTTCAAATTGAAAATTCAAGCTAACATACGCGAAGATACATATTGAAACAAATTGAAAATATTAATTATATATAAGAAAAATACATGGAAAGTCGTGCTTGTTTTTACTGAGCCAGAATTTTAGCAGTGGGGCAAAACTTTATTAATAAACATATATACTGCAAAAAATAAAGGATTTCTATAACTATACATTGGTAGATGTTATACACTGAACCCCACATAAAGAGAAATAAATATAAATATAAATATATATATATATATACGGAAATTAGCTAAATTTCATGTTTAAATAATTCACAGATTGTAACCGATTGAGAATTCTTTTTATTGTGTAAATTTAATTTTAAAAGTTATTTTTAAGAATTGCCACTTCCGCGCGCGTAATTTATGTATATAATGTTTTAAAATAAGGCAAAGAAAGTTTATAAAAATTGAAATACTATATGTATGTATATGCTTACATACACAATATATAAACCTGTTTAGTGGAAATGCTTGTTGAAATTGGCAAAGGAACTGCAACTTGCGCAAATTGGTAAAATATATATATATTCTATTATATTATATATTAGAAATAAAAAATTGTGTATAATTACTATTGTGCGAGTTATTTTTATGAGAATAATAGCTGTTCGCTATAAAGTCGGTATTTTAAAAAATTCCTTTTTGTATCTAATATATATTGCGAACAGAATGTGAATCTATTAAGCCACTAACCATTTGTATGGTTAGTGATTAAGCCTAAATGTTAATTGATTTTAAATGGCCCTATTTCGATAACGATTATTGATGCAGTCGTTACTAACGCAGCCAGCTGTTGCTGTTGAGCGGATAACATGTATGTTAATCAAATATGAGTTTCAGCTGTTTTAACATATTCGTAATCAGCTGCTTTAACATAATACCGTTGCTCACTTGGCTATTTGTAGTTCTTTTGAAGTTTAATAAATTTGTGATTCCGGCTTCAAAGCTTTTAAATGCATGGTACATGTTTGATTGCCAAGTTGCTGACCCTTCCACGTTCCGCTGCATTGGTTTCCGCCCGCTTGCTGCAGTGTTCTTGTTACTACACAACATCTGGGTGCCGCATGGCGTCGCCGGCCGGAATTGCTAATAAGACAACCAAAATTTCGTCGGAGATAATATCACAGCTTGGCAAGCCGCCCAAGATGCGTGAGAATCCCGCAATTAAGAAGGTGGACAGCGATGAGTTTCATAGCATATTCACACCAGAGCTGGAGGCTCTTGTGGCTATGTTCAAGAAATATGACTACGAACTGCGCATTGCAGGCGGCGCCGTCCGGGACATTTTAATGAACATTAAGCCGAAAGACATTGACTTTGCGACAACTGCCACTCCAGAGCAGATGAAGGAGATGTTCGGCAAGGAGGAGGTGCGACTTATCAATGCCAAGGGCGAAAAACATGGCACAATCACGCCACGCATCCACAACAAAGAGAATTTCGAGGTTACAACGCTGCGCATTGATGTGCGCACAGATGGACGTCATGCGGACGTTGTCTTTACCACCGACTGGCAACTAGATGCCAATCGTCGTGACTTGACCATCAATTCCATGTTCCTCGGCTTCGATGGGACAGTCTACGATTACTTCTACGGCTACGAGGATTTGCAGCAACGTCGCGTCGTTTTCGTGGGCGATGCCGATGTGCGCATCAAGGAGGATTACCTGCGCATTCTTCGCTACTTTCGATTCTATGGTCGCATCGCTGAGAGACCGGACTGTCATGACAAGGCAACGCTGGCGGCTATCAAGGCCAATGCCGTGGGTCTGGCCCGGATCAGTGGAGAACGTATTTGGGCAGAACTGCAGAAGATTGTAGTTGGCAACTTTAATCGCGAGCTGATACTAGAAATGAACAATTGCGGACTGCTGCAGCAATGCGGTCTCCCTATTCATCCGAATCTTGAAGAATTCGAGCGAGTGTGCGTCGATCTCAAGCGCTTTCATGAGCCCCATTACCCAATCTTATATTTGATTGGGCTGTTGCATAGCAGCGAGCAGGCCATGAAGCTGCACGAGCGCCTGAAGCTGAGCGCCTATGAGCGGGATCTTGCTTTGTTCATCACTCAGCAGCGGGAGAGAGTAATCCATACAATAGAAATGACAACGATTGAAAATAATATGATTTTTCCATTTCAGGTGAACTCCGAATATGTTTGTCTACGGGACTATCAAAAATTGTGCCTTCAGCCCTATGCTAAGCGGGATTACGTTGAGCAGTTACTAAAATACGCCAACAAACTGGAGCTCTATGCGCAGTTGAAGGAGTGGCAGATGCCTAGCTTACCCATAAATGGCAACACACTGAAGCCGTACGGCCTGGCGGGTAAACAAGTGGGCGTGGTTTTAAATGAACTGCGTCTGCTGTGGGCAGACAGCGACTTTACATTAAGTGCCGAACAGCTGCTGGAGAAGATGCCCGCCATACTGGAGCAGTTGCCATCGCCCAATAAAAAGCAACGCACGGAGTGAAAATTGAGCATTCAATTGTTTTAATTTCTTACTTAAATGCTAAAGTGGATAGACTAGATTAGACTTTACTAAATATCAGTATGGGGCGCTTGAAGCCTGCTTGGCAGTGCGCTGGAACGCCCATCAGCTGCATGTCAGCAAATCCAACTTCCTGACTGAGTAGGTAGCTTGTGAACTGATCAGGCTTGAATTGAATGGCCTCGTAGTTCTTCCTTATGCTCTCCTGCAAAGCGAACGAAATGACAACGATTATTCTCGGAATGAGCTATAGACTCGTATATCTGTTTCACTAACCGTTAGCTTTTTGCGTCGCTTGTAGGTATCGAATGCCTGCGGCTCTAGTATCAGCTTGCCACCTGGATGCAGAAGCAGGTACATCCGTCGAAAGGCCTGCTTCAGGCCCGCATCACAGAAGTTGAGGTGTATCCACTTGGTGACAGAGAGGCAGAGTATGACATCGAATTGTGGTCGCTCGATCTCAAGTAGGACATCGTCGGCTAGCACAAAGTTGCCATGCACAAATTTTACATTGTATGGAAATTTGCCAGCAGCCGTCGCTGCTGAAATATTACTGGAACGCTTGAGCAGGTTGACGGCCAGTTGGGCCTCGGATGTCAGGGCGCGATCGATGTCCAGGCCAACCAGGCTCCTCACCTCAAATTTCTTAGCTATTTCCAGAGAGAAGTGACCGGAGTTACAGCCAATGTCGAGCAACTGTTTGCCTCGAAATAACTCCGGCTGCATGGCCAGTACATCTAAGCGTATATCATGGAAGTCTGTGTCCAGAATGCGCTTGCCATAATAATGCCTATAGTTGCCAAATATAAACGTCTCATTTTTATTGATCCTGGGCTTGCTATTACTCAGTTGTATACGCTTTTTTGGACTCTGCGCAACTGGTTTTTTGTTATTCTCAGGCACATGTGCGTTCTCCACTTTTGTAGCCTTGCCGCTGAGTTTCAATCTCTTGATATTCGCAACGCCATCATTATCTTCGTCTGGCGCTGAGCGTTTTTTATCAACGTCTTCCTTTTTGAATTCAGGTACCACTGTATTGTTATTATTTTCTAAATCCATTATGAATTTGAAACGTTTTAAAACGTTTAAATTTTGCGGACCTCAATAACAAAATGTTTAGCGGGATTAACATGTTCTGTGCGAAACAGTGCGCTAAAAGGCCAAAACTATCTCTTGTGTTACGAATTGCTTTGTGGTGGTTCTGTTAGAGATATGATTACTTACACTTCGTACGCAAAGGTAGAAAACTATTTTTTAATGTAGTACGAAGTAAAAATTCCCACAATTTTATTTTTGTTGGAGACCAGTTTAATTGCCAATATATTTGAAAAACATATATGTATATTTGAGCATTATAAATCAAAGTATTGGTTTACAGTGCAAAATGAGTAAATGCGATAGACTTTGACTATCGATTTATTTATCAAATTATCATATACAGTCGACTCTCGTTATTTCGAAATTCAAGGGACTCTTAAAATATTTCGAATTGTAGAGTGTGTAATCATATGGGTACGAATTACCGCGTCTTAGCACTGATTTTTAGTTCGAATTACTGAGTGATAACTTTGAATTAATGAGAGGTTCGAAATAACGCAGGTTTGAAATAACAAGAGTCGACTGTATTGAAATCACTTTATACCTGCGATATCAAAATATTAATGGAAGAAGCTCACCTGAGTTTTTTTAATTTTAAATGAAACGTTTGATAAATACACTCACTTTACAACCAAATGGATAGTGGCAAAGACCAATTCTGTTACTATTAATGTTAACAAACAGTTCTGCTATTGATATCAAAATTAAGGTTTCTTTCTGGGCGCGCATTTGAAGTGGCGTGTCAATTGAATGCCTAACAGATACAAATGATAAGTTATTTATGTACTTTTGCATTAAATTCAAACTAAAAAATGCAAAATGCAGAGCTTTGTGGTGCTCGAAATGGTGGGTTTATAGACATATTATTGAATTGTTGAATCTAGTCAATCGAAATACTTTAATATAATGAATCTTGAAGATGAAGAATTGATAGCATCTTATGTACTAGCAGCACGAGGGGTGGTGGTAGGGAATGAGGTGTGATGTTTTTGTTATTTGGCAAATCTTCATTCCGTTTCCAAACACACGAGATGGGGGTGATTCTCTTCTTCTCGACGACGAACAGCAGAAATTCATATAGAAGTGCCAATCACTTTCCATTTGTGCTTTATTATTCAAATTAAATCATTAAATAATGAATAAGTTCTTCAATAAAAAATAATATTATTTGATTATTGATTATTGATTTGATTATTATTGCTTGTAAATTAGCATAGCAAAAGCATCGGTGGCTCACTTTGCAAACTTATATATTTCTATATATTTTAATTAATTAACCAGCATACGCTTCATTTATTTCATTTAAGACAGAAAGAATGATATATGGAGTTATTTCTTTGGGCAAAATAATGTAAGATCGTTCTCAAATATGGGAAAGAAGGCTTTCCATAAGTGGGGGACGTTGACATAAATAAATGCTCAGGCATTTCTAATTTTAATATTTTACCAGATGTAATGTAATTTTTCCAAATATTCCCAAATTTCTTAATGTGGTTCATATTAAACTACAATTTAATCTTTCAATGATAGTGAAGTAAATATCAAAAATCTTCTATTATTATTCTATATTATTATTATTATCTATAATTATTTTATACTTATTACATATAGGCATCATATATGATTATTTTTATTAAATATTAATTATAGCAGAAGGAATATTAGAACTCTGCAAAATCAAATTAGTGTCTTTTTCATATCAGAAGAAAAATTTAAATAAAGTACTAAAGTACTAAAGTAGTACTGTGAATATGCGATCGCATTGTTTTTTTTTGTTTTTTTTTTTTTTTTTTTAACGAGTCATTGAAGAAAAAGTTATTCAACTGTTAACCGGCGAAAAAAAAGAAATGAAATTTAAGACTATATTTTGTATATAAAAAAATTTAATTTATGTATTTATAGTTTTTTTGTGATACCGTTGTTTGGCTACATATAAATTAAAGGTTATTGGCTTTTAAAATGCATTTATATTAATTATATGAAA